TAAAAATATCACATAATTGATATTGATTTGTAATAGAATTCCTTAATTCTTCTCTGTAAGCAGGTAATTGTGAAATGTGAGCACTAGTAGCTTCACCTTGTTTTATTTAATAAAATAATGACAGAGGTTATGTTAATTATTTATTATTTTTCTTGCGAAGATCCGAAGTTATTTCTTTTTCAAGAAAAGTCCACAAGTCATTCCCTATTCAAGTTAATTGTGAATTATGGGAAAATTAAAGGTTCATTATTGCAAGGTAATTTTAATCAATCAATATTGATATTATAAAAACCTCCATTTAATAAAAGCATTGCGTAAAATTTTCATTCAATAATAATGTTGACCCTGAAACATAAGTATTCATTATCTACCCCAATCATGTATCACGTTATAAGAAATGCGAGTAAGTAGGCGGGGACCAAATTTGAATTCAGCAAAAGAAAATTTAGCTCCTTAGGAACAACTAATGAAACAAAATATAAAATTGAAGAGAAGACCTTGGGAGATATATTTATGGTGAACTTCCATATTTTATTATTAGCAATTTTACTTGCATCAAATGTTTTTACTTACGTCATTTTTGACTCAATGGCAGCGAATTTGACACATAAAATTCGTCCCTCCTAAAAATATCAGGACATTGATTATAAGTAGGTTTGTTTGTAATTAATGTATTATCTCAACATTATTTATTAATAAAAGTATTTTAGTTAAGATTGCCATTTTATGGTTTACTATGTTTTTACACTTTCTTTAAATATCTCAAGATTTTACTAAGTGGATATAATTTCTAAGCTAAAATGGGGCGCGGAAAATAGAAACAGCCTTAACTGCCAAAAATCTCAATTTCGAGTTAATAATGTACTTTGCTACCTTGCTGCTGCATCAGTCCAAGAAAGTGATTCCATTGTAAATTGTTATGTAAATTGTCACTATTTTGGTCTAGTTCAGATGAACAAAGTTCATTAGTTCTTGGAATTTTATTTCCTAGTAACCTCATTTCTTGAAACTAAAGCTCCTCACAAGCCAGCTTGGGAGCCAAATAACTTATTCAGCTTGCGAGCTGGCTCATGCAGAGCCTTAATTGAAATCTTATGCCTATTTATAACCAATTCCTTATTGCATCATAAACTTCTTCACACTTTGTTTTGAACAATATTGAACCTCAAAATCATGAATATGACCTGTAATAAATAATTATTTTTGTCTTTTTAAAACAAATCACAAAGATTTCATATAATGAAATGTTTATGATAATGATATTTTACAATAATTTTCACAATTATTGGAAAATCTTTTTGGATTTCACATATCATGAATTAAATATTTTCTACCAGTGTATTATGAATACCTCAAGCATTACAAATAACTACAACAACAACAATAATAATAAATAGATAAATCAATTCAAAGGCTTAAGATAATAAAATTTCTTTAATGTTGCCTTGCAGCTCTTGCTCAATCAAACACATTAATTACACAAGATATTGTGTACAAATAAACTTTCAAAATTCGAATAACAGATTTGGTTTTTTCAAGTAGTTATAATTTATTTATTGTTTTTCATACTTTAAATAGGATTTCAAATGAAGATATTGAAGTGTATATTTATTTTTCCTATTATAATTATAATCACTTATGGTACATATAATAAGAGATTTGATTGAATCATTCAAGCAAGATATGATGCAGGCACAATTCATGGTGCGAGATGCAATTCATGCAAGACATATTATTTAAATTAATAAATTAAAAGAATACAGTAATTATTATAAGATATTGAATTTTTTTATGTTTTATTCTTATGATGATAGAAATGATTATAATAATATCAGGAGGAATCTTGAATTGTATATTTTAATCAACACCATCTCTCATGTAAGTATACACACATTTTTTAGTGGCCTTGTTACTTATGGAGTTGCTTTTAATCCACAAGTATTATATTTAGCAATAATATATTACATTATATATAAATATATAACAATAATACATATATAATTTACTAATTTCACACCAGAAACCTTTATGCTCAGCTGGTGTAGTTCCATATATTAACTTGTGAAGTTCATTATCAGTCAAATTGTTTAGTTACATAAATATATAAATATAAATATGCATATCTCTATAATAATTCAAGTAATAATAAACCTATATATAATAATAGCAGCCTATAATTTTATATTTATTTAATGCTGCATACAATACTTCATCCTCTTCCATAATACATATACCTTTCTTATATTTAATTCCTTTAATAAATACTCAAAATAGTGATTGATTAAACAATTTTTTCTAAATTAATAGTGTGTATATGTGTTATAATCTAAACTGCATTATAAAAATATATTCACCTAATTCGTCTAATTTTTTCTTTTCAGCCATTTTGAAGTCAATAATGTGTCATTATTTGTTGTTGATTTTGATTCTGCCATTTTTTGATACCTAACCAAACTACCGGAATCTGATGATCTAATTGCTGCACTTAACTTATTAATACCTCTTTTTTCTTTTTCTTTTTGTATTTTTGGCATGATCAATTAAAATATTGTTTTGACGTGTTGTGCAACAATTAATTAAAAGAAAATGTTGGCAGTTCATTTGTTGTGTGATTGAAAATTCAATATATTAATCACTTGAATATCCACTAGATTTTTAATAAAAAAGAAGCCAGCCAAAGAAGAAACCAAAGAAAAGTGAGGAGGGAGATATCCTTTGTTGAACTATAGATTACGTTTTCCATTATAGCAATACCAGGTTATCTTATTGATGAAGTAAACAAGATACATCACAAAGATCATTTAGGCAAACCAATATAAAAAGTCATCAATAACATTTTACATAGTTTTTGTATGAGAAATAAACATGTTAATTTTGATATAAAATAAATTTTATTTTAAACAACTTATATATATTTTTTTTTTGAAAAATCATTGTTTTTTTTTATTATGTAATTAATTGAACAATACCACCAACTTTTTTTATTTTTTCTTCTGCACGTCTAGAAACATAACGTGCTTTAATAATAACTGGTTGATCAGGTAAACGACCTTTACCCAAAACTTTACCATATCCCTATTTGTTAATTAATATTAGCATAATTAAATATAAATACATGCACAACAAATATATACAAATAAACTTACTGCTCTCAGAGTATCAATCACAGGTACAAGATTATTATCCTTCTTAGTAGCATAGATTTTCCTTGTTTGTTCTGACACCAAAGTCCATAATTTATCCAAGTTGACAGTTGGACAATAGGATTGATTACGAGTCATATGAAAATGTCTCATACCGACTTTACCATAATAACCAGGATGATATTTATCCATGTTGGTACGATGATGATGTAGACCACCTGCTAAACCTCTACCACCCGGATGTTTACGGTGTTTGCCTTCATGTAATTATTTTTTTTTGGTAAGGAAGTATTGATTAATTGGTTGATGAGCATATATATATATATACATATATTATAGGGAGAGAAAAAAAGCTCAATTTTTTGATTTTGTTCATTTACCAATTCGACCATGTCCTGCAGAAACATGACCACGCTTTTTTCTATTCTTTTTAAGTCTTGTAGGCTAGATAACGTAATAATAATCAATCAAATTAATATGAATTTGATTTCATTTAATTAACAAATGCATTAATAATAAATTACCATTTTGTAAATATATATTAAAAAAAATTAAATTATGATGTTTTTTTTTTTTTGGAAAAAAAAATCTGGAAATTGATTCTTTTAAAATTTTAACCAATCATCTATCTCAATCTAATACTTTAGAATTTTTTAATTATCTTTTTTAAAAATATCTGTATATGTTTTTATCTATATATGTACAAAGTTGTATATATAAAATATAATAAAATATTAAGAGTTTGGTGAGGCAAGAAATAACATTGTTATTATTATTATTATTATTATTATTATTATTATTAGCATATAGATAGATATGAATCCTGAAAAACTTGCCAAGCTTCAAGCACAAGTTCGGATTGGTAAAAAAATTTATTTTATATTTTCAAGATGGAAAAAAACTTTCTGAACAAAATAATCAATTATTATTAGTTTATTGATAGGTGGTAAAGGAACACCAAGACGTAAGGTTAAAAAGGTATATAAAACTGTTAATAATGATGATAAAAAACTACAGTCTACACTCAAGAAACTTAATGTTCAAGCAATTCCAACAATTGAAGAAGTAAATATGTTTAAAGAAGATGGATCTGTTATCCATTTTACAAATCCAAAAGGTAATGAAAGTTAATATTATTATGATTATACTGTTATCAATATTATGATCATCATTCATTATTTAATATCCACCATTTATCATCATTTATAATTATCATCATTATCATCATTATCATCATTATCATCATTATCATCATTATCATCATTATCATCATTATCATCATTATCATTTATCATATTTGATAAAACACTAAATTCTCTTCCTACTAAAATTAATTAAAAATAAACAAATAATTATTAGTTCAAGCATCAGTTCATTCAAATACATTTGTAATTAATGGTCATGGTGAAGAAAAGGATCTTACAGAATTGGTGCCAGGAATTTTGAATCAACTAGGACCAGACTCCCTTGCATCACTTCGTAAATTGGCAGAATCTTATCATCTCAATTTATCATCTCAAGGTGCACAAGGTGATATTGTCAGTGGCAGTGGTGGTGGTGCTACTGGTTCAGCAGATGATGATGACATTCCAGAATTAGTTGAAAATTTTGAAGCTACAAGTGAAAAGAAAGATGAAGATGATAAAGAAGCAGAAGTGTCATCAACAACGCCAGCTATTACAGCTACTGAAACCACTACAGCCACTACAGCCACTACAGCCACTACAACCACTACAGCCACTACAGCCACTACAACCACTACAGCCACTACAGCCACTGCAACTACTACAGATAGTACAGCTACTATAACTACTACAGATTCAGCTGCTACTACTACTGATAAGCTTAAATCACCATAACTGCTACATCCTCCACATAGTTGTAATTCTTTTTCATTTTTTGGTAGCAAGTTAATTAAGTATTAATTTTTTTAATTTGATCAATTTAATGACATTTTGTTTTTAATTGATTAATAGTGAAAAAAAATTTTTTGATTAAATACATCATCCCATCATTAGTTTTACAATAAAAAAATTTTATTAATTTTTGATTTGATTATTATATTTTTATTATTTTTGTTATTATTTAATAAAACATATATACAGTATATAATTATACAATGTGCATGAATAATATTTCTTAAAATAATAATAATAATAATAATAATAATGTTTAGGGCTTATGCGAAGACTTATGTGAGCAGGACTCAAATTTTTTGTTAAATGAAACAGTGGTGAGTGAGTACCTGGTGAGAAAAGAATTGTTGCCTCAATTATAAAAAACTCCACCAATGAAAAATAACCTTTGGGGAAAAACCAATAAAAGTAATTCAGAAATGGGTTAATAAGGAAAAGAATTAAGAGGTGAAATAGGATAAAAATAATGAAGTCAAAGAATATCATTGATAATGATAGTGATAGTGATGATAATCAAATAGTATAGAGATTTCTGCCAGAGTGACCAAGGAATTGATTATACTCATAAATGGGTTAGGTTGAGCCTTTTCCTCTCATGAAATTGCTCTGGTTTTTTACTTTATAGTTTTATATAATTGTAATATTGTTATGTATCTTTCTATATATTAGCTGTATCAAAATAAAAAACAATTTCTTTTTTTTTGTTATCCTTATGATGATAGAAATGATTATAATGATATCAGGAGGAAACAAATGCGAAGTGACAAAGATTGGATATTTTATACATAATGATGTGCATGTGGATGTTGATTAATTAAATAAAAAGGAATTAAAAGGTAGTGGTGATAGATCCTCTCTACATTTGTTTCTAGTTGTATATATATATATATAAAGGGAAATAGATATTAAATCATTTGCTAAATGTCAAGGTTACAACAAATCGGAAAAACAATTAAATTTTTTCAGAAAATGCATTGGTTTTCATAAATCTTGGGACTCTATATGTAACATTTAATGGCTTCCGAGTTGATCTGGCTTTATGTTAAAAATGAAGAAAATCCAACCGTTGATGATTATCTTGAATGCAGCTAGACATCAATTTGCACCAGTATGGTTTGCTTGTAGACATCCAATCTATAAATTATTGGAAGTATCACATGAAGTACTTTGTCACGTTTAAAACCTCCATTTAGAAAAAACATTGAAAAGGCATCAATAGTTTCTAGGTCTGGATTTTGGAATCAACATCAAGGCCTTGATGCAATATTGGAAAAATTCAATAAATCATTAAAATCCAGTACCTTTCTCAACATCATTGGGAAATTGCAGCAAGAGATTGCAAAAATTTCATGAAGATAAATACAGTTTACTTTCTCTATAATAAATTTTTCTATAATAAATCTTGCTCTAAATGGACTGAGAATTTAATCCCAATTTATATGTCCCATATTAATATATAATCATTACTATCTACGATGCCAAATGGTCCATTATAGAGTAAACTGTAATTTAAATCTAATCTTTTTAATATGATTGGATTTAAGGAAGAGAAAGTTTGGGACCATGAAAAACACCTGATTTTAGTACTGAATCACAACGTTTTAGAGTAGAACTGAGGAAGAGCCAGTTTTTTTACAAGAAGCCATTTTAGGAATTTGAAAGATGACGTTATTTTGAGTGAAAAAATGAAAAATTTTAGCTATCTTTCAAAAGAAAAAAGGAATATATTGTTGAAAGAAATCTTATTGCAAGGAGCTTCTATTAATTCCTGCATCCTATTCTAATAACAGAACAAAAAGAAACAGCACAGCAAAATGAAAAAAAAATATGAAAAAAAAAGAATTATTATCAGTTATTAATTCTATACTTTTTCCCTTCCTGGAACATTATAATGGTTTGGAATAATAAAACTTATTAATAATTTTGCAAGAATTAAGAAATATATATGATACTGTTGAAACAGTTGGATTAATAAATTGCTAATCAAATTTTTGAGTTTTTTTCTATTCTGTATATAGATCCCTACTTTTAACATCAAGGAAATTCCATTTCGGGGAATAATCGAACTCAGTACTGCAGTATCAATCATGTGATATTATTGTTTAATTGAAATTTTTTTTGGCACAATGTTGAAAAAGGCTTAAAGCCCCGTTTGAATCTTAATGTCATTATTTTTATGGTAAATTAATCCTATATATTCCATTCAAATGGATCCTTATATATTCTGTAATGAAAACTTCATTAATTAAAATAATGTTAAAACGAGAAACATAAAAAATTGAAAATAATAAGGTACGGACGGATGCTTTGTTTTATTATCAACCGGTCTCTACACTATCAAAATATAAACCAATTATTTTTATTTTCAATAGCCAAAATTCTTGACTAAATAAGAACGTACCAAATTGGCCTTTTATTCTGTCTTTATTGCATTTTTATTTATATTTATACTTTAGGTTATGGTAGAGATTATCGAGATTATTATGACCGTTATGATCGTGATAAATATGTTCATTACGATCGTGATCGAATAAAAGGAAGAGATAGAGATGGTAATTACAAACATCTAAATAATAAAAATGATGATGATTATACTTCAAAAATGGATGATAGGGGACTGCAAGCAATCAAAGTAATGATTTCATTTTTTTTTTCTTTAGAGGGTAATTGATCTATTCCTGTTATTATGAATCTTATTTATTATTATATTTATTTAATTTACCATTTTTCTGGTTATGTATTCTTTAGATGTCAAAAACTATATTATATATATGAAATAGGAACGTTATATGAGTGGTGGGTGGACGTAAAAAAGTAAAATACGTAAAATGATGAGAAGAAATTTGTTTTTGATTAGGATGCTGGAGAAGTTACTTCACAAGATTTTAATCCTTTATATGCAAATAAACGCGAAGCTCAAATGTTTGGACATGGTCATCTTGCTGGTATTTATTAAGGAGAAAAAAAGAGATCGTGCAACATTCTATAATCAATTATTAGAACAAAGAAGAACTCTTGATCCGAGTATGTTTTCCTCATTTTTTTTTTTTTAAACAACCTTTTTTTGAATTATTGTTAAAAAAAAATCAATAGCTTATTTTTTTATGAAAATGGAGATTGATAGGCGAAAAGAATTAAAAACCATGTGGGATGATCGATACTGGCGTATATTCAAAGAAGATTTCAATATTGCAACTAAAGGTGGCAGTATTCCAAATTCTATAAGGCCGTGGAAGGAATCTGGTTTACCACAAAGAATACTTGATTTTATTGAAAATATTGGATATAAGGAACCAACACCTATTCAACGACAGGCTATTCCTATAGGTTTACAAAATAGAGACATTATTGGTATAGCAGAAACAGGTATTTATTATTAATAAATTATTGTACATATTTATATACATATATAGAATATATACAAGCAACTTTCTTATTTGATTATCATTATAATCATAATCCTAATCATAATAAATAATCAGAATCATTATTATAAATTATAATATTCATTAATAGATTTTAACAAACTTTCTGGATCCGGCCTTGTTGACATAATGTGAACTTTAATTTTTTTAATGTCTTCAAGATATCTGCCTGTTGTTTTACCAATTGAAGCAATTTTAATTTTTTTTTTATTACCATCACTACTAATACTACTGGTACTACTCCAAAATAATTCTTTGCTGTCATCTTTTCCCCCAAATTGTTTTTTTAAAGGTTCAAGTGCTACATCCACACCTGAAGGACTAAAAAATACTATCCACCAATCATCATCATTATGATGTGATGATGTTTTGAAAATTTTGTTTAATTCAATTGAAAATTGTGGATTAGGTTTAGTTTCATAAATTAAAAGTTCTTGGATATTTATTTTTGCCTCCAACAATTTCTTTGGTAACTCATCACGACGCTTATCACCTACAAGAAATAATAAAAGCGGAGTAGCAGTGGTGGTAATAGAAGTGGAGGCTGAAATATTGTTTTTTTTTTGTATGATTTGATCATTATGTTTAGCATAATAAGTTTCTATGTAATTTGCTAATAATTCAGAAGATCCAGATTCTTTAGCACCAAATACATTATTAAATCCTAAATTTTTTATTGATTTTTCTGTTGCTTTTCCTACAACGAAAATTGGAAGTTTTAACCATGATCCACTTATTTTTGATAATGATGATGATGACGACTCTAGAATATAGATGATAGATATATAAATCATATTGATAAATCAATCAATAACAATTTATCACAACAAATAATCACCAGATTCTAGGAAAACTTCATTCCAAGCAACTTTCAATCCTTCAACAGCTCTTTGGCTAGTAACTATTATGCCCCAAAATTTATTATTATTTAATGGATTATTATTTTTTAATATTTTTGATAAATCTGATATTCCAACTAACATATGAGCTAGCACTGGTAGAAATAAACAAGCGTAATTATTGGATTTTTTTAAAAATTCTTCTTCGTATGGATCAAGCTCGTTATGGTCGTTGTTGCTGTCATTGTTATCATTGTTAGTTTTTTTCTCTTGGATGTTTTTTTCTTTAAGTAATAAAATTTTTCTAGACATTATTTTATTCTAAAAATGATCTGCATTAATATTCATTTTTCTATGAATCAGTGAAATGTCGATCTTTTTATTATAATGGAGAAAGGGTTAGTGAAGATAGAATTTTGGCATTAAAAAAGTTACATGATTCACCAAATATTTCTGATGAACTTCTTAATGAGGTAAGTTATTTTGTTTTTGTATTTTTTTAAATATTATTTTGAATTTCAATGTGTTTTTTTTTTAGTTCAGGAATTATGTTACATTTTATGGTGGAATCATTTATAATTAAAATTTATGGATTAGCACAAGATCCAGCTACAAAAGGATACATCTTTGTAATGCATTACATGGAAGATAGAAGTCTTCAAAATTATGAATATTTATATAAAATAGAACAAAAAATGTGTTAAATGTCCAACTTGTAATAGATATAACACCAATTGGGCATGGTGTCAATCGTGTGATCCAGAGCTATTAACTGAAGGACTGACTAGTGGTAATGAAACACTAGATTAGTTGATTAAAAGTGCATAACTTAAAGCAACTTATTGTAATAATTCTTATTATCTTCAATGGGAAATCTACAAATAATGGTGGTGATTGTGGCATTGAAAAAATTACACAATTCTTCTGATGAACTTCTAATGAAGTAAATTATTTTATTTTCCTGTTTATTTTCAGATTGTTTGATATTATTTTAAAATTGAATGTATTTTTTTAGTTCAGAAATTATGTTACATTCATGGTAAATCATTTATAATTAAGATTTATGGATTAACACAAGATCCGGTTACAAAAGAATATATCTTTGTAATGCATTACATAAGTCTTCAATTTATGTAGATTCATATCTCAGAAAAGGAAAATATGTTAAATGTCCAACTTGCAATAGATATAATATTAATGATTCATGGTGTCAATCATGTGATCCTAAATCATGTAACTGAAAGGATAGACTAGTGAATGAAACATTAGATGAGTTGAGCAATTGGATATAATAATAGGGATTATCTTCAATGAGTTTCTTATAATGAACTAACAGATATTGAAAAGATTGGTGAATGTGGTTTTGCAACTATATATAAAGCTACTTAGGTAAATGGTCATAAACATATAGATAATTGTAAAAAAATTAGAATTGTAAAAAATCAATGAAAATAGGATTGTGGCATTAAAAAGATTACATAATTCACAAAATATTTCTGATGAATTTTTTAAAGAGGTAAATATTAGTTTTAAATTGTTTTCAATGCTAAATATTATTGTTAAAATTAAATATTTATTTTATTTTAGTTTAAAAATCATCTGAGATTTCATGGTAAATTAGATATAATTCAAATTTATGGATTAACACAAGATCCAACTACCAAATAATATATATTTGTAATGAAATATATAAAATGGAAAAACAAAATTGATATTCTTTATAGTTATTTATGGTTTAAATAAACAAAAAATCATTCACCATGACTTTTACAGTGGCAATATTTTTCAAGAAAAGAATAATAAATATATTTGTTTATGCATTGCAGATTTAGGATTATCATGTCCAGCTAGTCAGACACCTGCATCAGTACTGCCATTTGTTGCACTAGAAGTTTAAGTTGCAAAAAATTTTATGTGAACTAAAAACATGCATAGTGTTCCTAAATTAAGCCTATAAATATTGAGATCTTTTATAATTGATAATCTTTTTTGCTTTTTGAGAAAATTAAATATAAAATGTCTACTTCAAGACAAGAAACCCAATGTCAAGCTATATTACATTTATGTAATAATGGTGTATGTGAGGCCAAAGAAATAAATAAGTGACAAAAGTTCCTCTTTCTACTGTCTATGATAACATAAAAAAATTAAAAACAACTGGCAATTTGATCATGTTAGAGGAAATGGCCATCAAAAAAAATTACTGCAGAAGCATCAAGAGCTTTGGGGCAATATATATGCAGAGATTAATCAATTTCAACTAGAACATTGGCAACAAAATTATTGGTAAATCATGTGCAAGTATCTTATTCAACTATCTCTAGACATATACATGAAAAGGGGTATGAAAAAGCCCTACTAATGGCTACATCAATTGTTGACAATATCTCATAAAGAAAACCATGTACAATGGGCCCAACAACATCTTAATTATGATTGGAATAAAACATTATTTACCGATGAGACATCCTTTTTATTAACAAATGTTTTATTAATTATTCAATAGTTGTATAGGGAGTGATCGAAGTAAGCATTAAGGACAAGATCTATGAACAAAATTTACTAACAAATGTTTTATCAATTATTCAATAGTTGTATAGGAGTGATCAAAGTAAGCATTAAGGACAAGATCTATGAACAAAATTTACTAACAAACGTTTTATCAATTATTCAATAGTTGTATAGGAGTGATCAAAGTAAGCATTAAGGACAAGATCTATGAACAAAATATACTGACAAACATTTTATCAATTATTCAATAGTTTGTGGAGGTACATCAAATATTGCATTATATGTTTTACGAAGTAGAAAATTACGCGCTCAAAAATATAGGGCTTGTGTAACATATTTGGCCAATAAAAATCTAGAATTTTTATTATATTTTAATATTATTGATAAAAAAATAAAAGCCGGGTCATCGAAAAAATTTTAGTTATGTCGCCTAATAAATATATAATAAATATTTACAAAATAAACCAATCCCCACTCCTCCATCTATTATTTAACTCGTAGTAGTAGTAGCTAAAGGAATACCGATTGCTAAATTATTGGTAGGTAATCTACTTGTTATAGTTGGTTGATCTGGTTGTGTCCTAAAAATTCAATGTAAAAATGATTTAATAAATGATCTTCAATGATAAATATGCAATTAAATTATCAAACAGTTACATTATATCTTTGGCAAATGGCTTCCAAGTTGATGAAGTTGGAACATTATTATTTGTAGTAGCAGGAGTAGGAGCCGCAGCTGTGGTGGTATCATCTGAAGTTGATTCTTTTTTTGTTGCAAATTTTGCTTTTGAGGTGGTTGTTGTTGTTGCTGCCGCCGCCACTGCTGCAGTTTTGGAAGCTGTGATTGTTGTTGTAGTTGTTGTAGTTGTTGTTGATTTTATTTTTATTTTTGTTTTTGTTTTAGTTTTTATTTTTATTTTTGTTTTTGTTTTTGTTTTTGTTATAGTTTTAGTTTTTATGGTTGTTGTTGCAGCTGGAGCTTTTGTAGTTGTAGTTGTTTCTTTTTTTCTTTTTGATGTTGTCGAATCTGGAGTTTCTTTTGGTGCTTGTGATGACGTAGTCGATTCTGGAGTTTCTTTTGGTGATGTAGTCGGTTCTGGAGTTTCTTTTGGTGCTTGTGGTGATGTAGTCGGTTCTGGAGTTTCTTTTGGTGCTTGTGATGATGTAGTCGGTTCTGGAGTTTCTTTTGGTGCTTGTGATGATGTGGTAGATTCTGGAGTTTCTTCTGGTGCTTGTGATGATGTGGTCGATTCTGGAGTTTCTTCTGGCGGTTCTGGAGTTTCTTCCGGAGGTTCTGGAGTTTCTTCCGGAGGTTCTGGAGTTTCTTCTGGAGGTTCTGGAGTTTCTTCTGACGGTTTTGGAGTTTCTTCTATTGATGTTGTTGATGTTGTAGGTTCTGAAGTTTTTTCTATTGATGTTATCGTTTCATTTGTTGTCGTCGTAGTTTGTAAAACGGTTGGTTGAACAACTACAAATGTTGTTGCAGGCGTGGTATACTGACTGAATGGAATAGATTATTTATTATTATTATTATTATTATTATTATCCGTGAACAGAGTTTTTTCTTTATTTTTAACATGCAAGATTATAAATTACTTACGAAAATGGACCATCTCTTATTTTCATTCCAATATTATTGTGTTGTGCAGTAACATTTAACATTATTGTATTTAACAACAATAAAAATGTTAGTAAAAACGGGAAGAAGCCTGTTTTTCTCTTTACTAGTGGTGTTAGTATTGATAACATCATCTATGAAATTTCTTTATTCAAGAATTTTTAATTTACTAATTAGTAAAGATCATGAAAAGTATATATAGTATATATAGTAAAATTCGAATTTTTTTGGTTTTGTTTGCAACGCAAAAAAATTGAAAAAACTTGTATTTTTTGAAAATTGAATTATTTTTCAACCAGCCACCCTACGTCATCCCATCACCACTTGGGTGCGCTACTAGTCCATCTACACATGAAACAGTTCTTGATGTAAAAAACTTGATAATTTCGATTTCCTTGGACATTAAAAAATTATCTATCATTACTTTTTTTTTTCAAACTCTGAACTTATCTATCAATCAGTTCTATATGAATGTTATAAAAAAAAGAAATATTGAAGTGAACAAAAGATGTTGTTTTTTATTTTTTATACTTTATAAAAGTTTTCTTGATAATGACAGGAGAAAGGACATACACACATATATATCATTTTTATTAATTCCAATTAATAATTCGAATTAACAAAGAACAGATAATTATACCGACTATCATCAAATGCGAACAGCAGATTTTTTATTAAAATAATCTAATCCAATTTCTAGTGATAAAAATTTTTGATGAATAATAACAACAATTAAACGCACATAAATAGTCTACAAAGTCTTTTATTACATTTATTAAATTATTTTTATCAAACGCGTAACAGTAAATTTTTCATCATTTAAGACGATAATCCACATTTTATTTATTATCAGCAAAGAACAATAATAATAATTTAACAACTATCATCAATGCGCAAATAGTACAGTAAAAGAACAATGCGTAACAGTTAATTTTATTTAAAATGATAATCCACATTTAGTAAATAAATAAAATTCTTTTTGATGATCGGTGTGTAAATTTCATCGTGCAACTAGTACAAATTTAGAAACTGTCTCAAATTTGATTGGATAATAATGTTATACGCCTTCAATTTTCTCGGATTTTTTTTTTTATCAATAATCTCGTGTTACCAAAGAATTAAATTTTAATACGAAAATTTTTTTGAGTGCAGGTCGTATTGTATCAGTGTTGATAAAATGGTTATACACATACCATATGTATTATATACAAACATGAAACATATGAAACCACATTAATTTTCGTTATTGAGGATTTTTTTGCAGATCCTTTTCAAAATTCGTGCAATTTCAAACCACTAAGGCCCCATTTTATTGTTGCAAACATGGAGTTTTTTCAGTTTATTAATAAAAAAGAAAGCCTTGGTGGTTTGAAGTTGAATGATCCTCGATGATCTGCACTGCAGTAAAAACGCATTAAACTCAACCCCTCATAACTTTTGAAAGAAACAATTTATAAACTTCAAATTAAAGACACAAGTTATTGAATAAAAGTATGAAGCCTTTTTTTTAGTGATAATTAGGATTTTTCAAATAAAAAAAGCTCTCTATATTTTTATTTAATGGTAATTTAATTAATTTCAAATGTTGTGAGGGTTTTTATTATTTGAATTCTCCATATTAAGTTTAGGAACTAGATTTAATAGAAATATCTAATGACGGCATGTATACACATCACAAGATGACATCTGCATCTTGATTTCTTTGAAAAACTGTGATTGAAATATATATATATACTGTAATTAAAAAATCAATAAAATACATACCAGCTGGGTTCCCAGCTTCTAGTTTACGATTTGCAATTGAAGGTTTGTTGCAAACGTAATCATTTACAGAGATGTCATTTAAAAAAAAATTTATGATTACTAATTTAAAATCATTTTGAGGATAGATCCGTATAAATCTTTTTCTTGAGCTGTCAAGACTTCACAAGTTTTACTTGGATTTTTATTAAGTTTGACTTATTAAGTAAAGGTTAAAAGTTTCGAACATAGTGGAGACTGAAAGGATCTGAACATAAAAGAGACTTTCAACAACAGACTTCCTCAAGAGCCCAAACACAACCTTGATATATTTCAGAGCCTTCGCCTCCCCACTCTGAATTCTTGCATCCCCTTGGGTTAAATTAATCTTTTTTGGCATAGTGATTATTAGAATGAACCAAAAGTGATTATAGTATATTTTTGAGGATCAAAATCGTTTTATTCAGCATAGTAGGAAACATAAAAATTTTGACATCATCCGACGCATACGCTTATCAATCGATTGGTTTATTATTTATTTATTTATTTATTTATTATTTATTTATATTTATTTATATTTATTTATTTCGCATACGTATGCCCATATATAAAAGTTATAGAAAAAATAGTGGTGATGTAATGTAATAATATAATTAATTTGGAATTGTTATGCAATAAAATCATCATTGATGGTATATTAATATCTATTCTCCGATTTTGGTTGTTTGATACACAATTTCTTCAGTCACGTGATATCAATACAATTGGAAAATTCGTATCGTATTCAAATTGTACACAATCAGTACGTTTTATTCATACATCTTTAATTTGCATACAATATATGAAATTAGTATAGTGGATATCAAACTCATAAATCGTTAGATAAAGGATTGACTGAATTTATCATATTTTCCCAATTGTTTTAAACTAATTGATGGCTGAAATGTTGATAATGCTTCCAATATGTCAGTTTGATTGATTTGTTTCTAATTACAGGTTGAATTAATAGAATTTTTAATATCACAACAATAATAACAATAATAGTGATTATTATTAATAGAATGATACATATATATATCACACCAACCTTAAAATCAGTTTGAGATTTGTTTAGTTTATATTTTTTAAAGGCAATAAAAGCTGCTCTTTCTAATAAAAATTTTAAATCAGCTCCTGTGAAACTCTGTGTTTTTAGTGAGATTTCATGAAAATTTATTTGATTATTATTAAAATTGAATCTTTTACTCAATAAATTTAATATTGATAATCTTTCTTGAAAATTTGGTGGTTTAATATAAATCAATCTATCTAATCTACCTATATCATAGGGCGGTTATAAAATATTTTAGTCCTTTTTTATAAATAAATGAAATATTCTTTTTTTCAAATAAATTTTTTTACCAGGTCTAAGTAAAGAATTGTCAATCTTCTCAGGATTATTTGTAGTAGCAAGAATTACAACACCTTGGTCTGTTTCACCCAAACCATCCAATTCCAATAATAGTTGTGATATCAACTATAATTTTATTTCAATAAAATCCATTTTAGGAATTAGAAATTTTATTATGCGTACATACTATAATAATAATAAGAATATTAATAAATAACCTTTCTACCATAAGTGCTAGATGATTCTCTATTACCAAACATTGCTTCTAATTCATCCATGAATATAACACATGGACTGCAATTAATTGCAATTTTAAATATTCTTGCCAATGATTTTTCAGATTCTCCAATCTGAAATAATTAATAAATATAAATGTATGTTTTTGGAAACATAACCCTCTCCCTCTTGCTACTCACTTCACATTTAATCAAATCAGGTATCGATATTGGCAAGAAGTTGGCTGATGATTCAGTTGCAACTGCTTTTGCTAACAAAGTTTTGCCTGTACCTGGTGGTCCATATCTAAAATAATTAATGTATTTATTTTTTAGCATGATGGGCAAACAGTAATATTTAATAATTAAGATTACCTACAATAATACACCTTTAGAAGGCTTTAAACCAAGTCTTTTGAATGAATCAGAATATTTATACATCCAAATAATAGATTCTTCTAGCATTTCCTAATATATATATTTACAAATAAATATATAAATAACATATATATTTATATCAATAAATATATATGCAAAAATAAATTACTTTGGCTTCATCTAACCCTCCAATATCAGACCATCTTATAGATTCAATTTTTTGTATATTAAATCTTTCTTGTAAATTACTAATAATAATATTTTTGTAATTCCCCTGAAAATCTTTATTATTGATTTTTAATTGACCTGGTTTTCCTAATTTATTAAAATCATTTTTAAAAGATAAATATTTATTCTTGATAAAAATAAGTTTATATTATTATTCTTCTAACCAGTTTCGGAAATACTTCTTGATTCACAGGTTTCTAATGCTAATCTACACAAACACACGATATCAGCTGCAACATATCCATGACATTTTTGATTTATTTCTTTTAGATTAACATCATCTTCTAAATTCAATTTTTTTTCAATGCAAGATTTTAATATTTCAAGTCTTTGATCTGGTGTTGGTATTTCGATTTCAATTTCATCCTTGTATATAATTATAATTTTTTAAAATCTGTTTTGATTAGAATTAATATAAAATATTATATAAAATAATTATAGTAAAATAATTACTTGAAAATAATTACTTGAAAAGTGTTGACAATTATTGGATTAATTAAATTAACATTAGTTGAAGTCCCTATCTTAATAGATAAAATAAATAAGTAAATAAATAAATATAAAAAATATATATACAACATGTAAATACAATATATTTACAATTATTGTAAGATAATTTGATTTTCTATAATCTTCCAATAATTCGCAAAAATAGTAAGCAAGTAAATGATTTTCTCCGATTGGGAAAATTTCTTCAATGTTTTCAATTAATACTGACCAAATAATAACATTTATTATTGTTTTATTTGTCTTATCAAAATATAAAGTGAAATAAAATACAGTAGAGATTTATTTATACTTACAAACACTTGGTTGATTTTTAGAACACATTGAAAAATATTGATCTAATCCTTTTTCTAATTCCAAAGGAAATTCACTAGACAAATCTCCAATTGTTATTGTGATTAACTAATTTATATGATTATGATTTTATATATGCATATAATTAATTAATTACCAATTAATTACAAAAAAAATTTTAATTATTTGATCCTTACTTTTACATTAAATTTATCACTTAATTCATGAATTATATGAGTTTTTCCTAAAAAAATTTTGGTAAATTAGAAATAATAATAACTATAACCATTTACTAAAGTAAACAAAACCTGATCCTGAAGGTCCAAATAAAAGAATGGATTTTGTAACATCAAAATTTATTAAAGTATTATTATTATAGATAGTCAATGAAAACAATTGTTCTATTCTATGGTAATAATTATAATTGGAATAATTCATTTTTTTTAATAAAATCATATAATAATAATAATAGTTACCATTTTCTGATCAACAAAATTATGAAATGTACCACGAAACTATCGTGAATATTTTATTACAATAAAAAAAAAAACACTTTTAACGCTCTTTGGGTTAAAATTGGCAAGTTAAAAAAAAATGAATTCTTTTCCTGACAGTAATATCAATAGCAATAGTAATAGTAATAACTCTTTTATTACATTACCTCCTAACGATTTTCTAGCTGAAATGTCTCAAGCTCAACTTGCAGAACTAGCAATATGGGAAAAGGCTCAATTTAATAATACCTATGATAATAATAACAATCCTGCTGATTTAAGTAAATTTGAACTTTCTTCAGATCTCGATACAAAATTTGATTTTGAAGGTCAAGAAATTTCACCCATGCTTTCACCACATAATATGTTACCTCGTTTTGTTTCATATCCTATTTTTACATATCCCACCACAAATTCAACCACCCTGTCCACAGCTGCTGCCACCACTCAACTACGGCCTATCACCATCAATCCATCCTCCAACTCTTCAACTGCTGTTACTACTCCTACCAACTTTCCTCCTATATTTTCTGCTTCAACAGGTACAGTAGCTATTCCAGGAAATTTAATTGGTAATGTTAATAATAATAATAATAATAATAATAGTAATAATAATAATAATAATAGTAATAATAATATTTATTACCAAAAAAAACCCTCTTAGATCACCACATTAAATAATCTTCCTCTTTTTTCTTTTAAATTACAAAAGATAATAGCAGTAATAGTAGTAACGGATCTAAAACTATTTCAACAAACCAAAAAATTTCCCTGCCAAAATCACTTCAAGCATCTCCAAATACATCTACTGCAACTGCTGCTCCCGGCAACACACAATCTAATGATAAATCGACTAATAACGATTTAGAATCAACTAATTCTGATAATGCTGCAAAATTAGCAGCCGAAGAAGATAAGCGAAGAAGAAATACTGCTGCATCAGCCAGATTTCGCATTAAAAAGAAATTACGTGAACAGGCACTCGAGAGAACAGCAAGAGAAATGACTTTAAAGGCAGATATGCTCGAAGGGAAAATCAAGGAACTTGAATTGGAAAATAAATGGTTAAGAAGTTTAATTGTTGAAAAAGATGCTAGGTTGTTGGATGTTAAACCTGTTGCTGATTTAGATGATGTAATTGTACCCGATGATAAAAGTAAAAATAAAAACAATAAAATGGTAGCAATTGAACAAGATTATAAAAAATCAAAAGATGACAAATCTTTTAAAAAGGTCAAGTGATCAAAAAACAACAAGAAAATAAAAATCAAATAGGAATAGGATTTTATACTATGTGTTTCTTTCTTTATTGTATATATGTATGAAGACATCTTGTACGCATAAAAAGTTTTTTTTAAACAAATTTACATGTTTTTTTTTCTTTTTTTAACAATTAGATGTTTTTCATTGTCATTGCTTTTAAGTTAGTATAAATAAAAATTTTTGGTCAACAATAAATATTTCACAAATATGACTTTTTGATGAAAATCTTTTATTATTCAATAATAATACGCTGTATTCTATCTACTAATAATATACAATCATTTCATTATATATGTTTAATTAAAAAATTTTTTAATAAAAACTAAAAAAATAATATAACTTCTTTTCTCGTGAACTTTCTACTATGAAATAATAAAATTAAAAAAAAGATTAGAACTAAATCTGAAATATAGTATAACAATCAATGATGCCGGCAAGTTGTAAAGTATTTTTGAGTGTAGGTGCTATAACAATTCCAGTACCTCTAAGAGCAGGTACGAGATGACACACCACATACCACATTTACCAGTAATTTTAGATGGTAAAATGTGTGGCTCATCGATTGATGAACCCCAGTACAGAAAGAATTGGAAGTTTTATTGCACCACGAATAGCTGTTGCTGTTTCTTTAGAAAATTTAAACCCAACCTAACATGTCCATTAGAATACCAATTACAATAAATGCCTAAAATAATTTTTGTTAATTTGATTGATTGATTGATTGATTGATTGATTAATTAATTAAAGTATTATCATAGATATACACGCGCGAACACTGGTGTACATACATTTATTGGGAAAAGAATTTATTGTTTTTCCCTGCCTTTCAAAATGTAATAAAACACTAACCTTGAATTTAGTCCTTTTGACTTGCACGTGTTTGCTTTTAAATAGTTGTGATCTTCATAACTTCACCTTAATGAGATCCCAAAAAATGATCTATTATTTGAAATTCTTTAAATTGGCAGTGAAAATAAATAAATTTCTTCAACATTGATTTCCTTTACAAGACGTCCAAGTTTGGTCACTGGAACTTTAAAACAACAGCAACAACAACAATGATAAATGAATTATTAATATAATTGATGATAATTAACTAATTCATCAATAATTAACCAATTGGCTAATCTATCAATTGATCAATTAATAAATTGTACCATTCTTCTTTACGTGCAGGACGACGTCCACGTCCACAGCCTCTACCACTACCGCGACCATCATCACATCCAAAGCCACTACATCCTGTTGATATGTATTCAAAGCCTTTTTGTAATAATTAATACCAATAATAATTTGATTTTTTGAAATTTATCAATCTTCCATTTTTTATATGTATTCTACATGAAAACAGTGAACAAATTGGATATATAAAAATATAACCAACATTTACTTATTAATTGATAATTGTTATCAAATAAAGCTCTTCATGAGCTGGCTTGTGAGCTTACTAAGTTATTTGGCTTGCGAGCTGGCTCATGCGGGGCCTTATTATCAAATTTAAATAAAGATTATAAAAATTTTCTTAAGAACCACATGGATTGGTTGATCAGCCAGGGCCCCAAAATTGGTCTTGGGGACTATCAATTAATCCCGATCAATTATTCACATTAATGTTAAAAAAAACTAAAGCTAAAACGAGATCGTTTAAACGAGCGAGCCACTAAAATTTATGTTGTTTATATTTATTGAAAATATAATGTAAGGTGGGTGCAGTTTCTAAGCTAAAATGTTCCTCACGATGAGTTAATTACACAGGAATGTTATTAATATTAAATTTGACTTTTGGGAAACATTCATTGTTTCCATTGACCAGGCCCCAATTATTTAATAATAACATATTAATCTATAATCAGAATATTTGATGCATCCACCTATTCAAATGTAATCTTAAAAGGCAACATTTGTAATGTTTCAACGATTTCACGTGACAATAAAACGAGGACCATAATGTGAAAAATGATGATGTGAAAATTTCAGAGTTTTGAAACTTTAAAAACAATATCTCAAAATATTACACAGTGGGTACGGTTTCTAAATCAAAAATGTCTGTAAAAAATTATTACATATAGGAATGGCCAAATTGATTTTTTCGTGTTATGGCCCTTTTTCTATTGTCTAGGCTTCTTCCATGCGTGAAAAATCCATTTTAATATGGAAGATACATAAAACATCTTCTCTGTACCATTTTCATGTGTATTCAGTACCTATTCCTAACATAATTTTTTATAGGATGTGATGCATACGAGAATTGCATTTCAATGAATCAAGATTTATATGTATTAGATACTATATATTGATCTGAATTAAATCAAAGCAAATTATGATTCATTGGGTTAATTTATTTATATATTAGGTAATAATGTATATGTTGATTCAAATCAAAGCATGAATCATGCTCAATTTGAATGAAATAAATCAAAAATTAGGTGATTCAATTCAAATTTATAATTACTATAACATATCTAGTAAATCTAAATCAACCTGTTGAGAATCTGAAAAAAATATACAAGAATTAATATAATATTAATGTTGATTTAAAGATTATTAAATTAATCAATTAATAGTTACCTTTATGATTACCAATAATTGTTACTTTATTGGAATTGACAGGTTGAAGAAGAAGGTCTGTAAATTTTAATAATCTGCTAGTATAAATTGCATTTGGATGAATTGTTGCAATAATTGTTGAAGGATCAAATAAAATTTTATCCATTTTATCAAGTACTTTTTTAATTGACCATAATGTAAATTTCCAACCATTAATAATTGTAAATACTCCTTTAGCAGTTGGATGTTTATCTGGATTAGCATCCATGCATTTGTATGCTAATTCAATATAGAATTTTGGAGTGTTGATTGAGAATGCAGGTCTTATACCTTCACATATTCCCACTTGAAGAGTCACATCATGTGCCAAACTGTTGAATGGTTGTTGACCAGTTGATATTATAGACATCAGAACTCCAAAACTATATATATCTGATTCCATTGTATATGGTTTCCTTCTTAAAACTTCTGGTGCAACAAATGGAAGTACTCCAAATATGTCATTCTTATTTGATGCTGATGTTTGACTAGCTAGACATGATAATCCTAAATCTGCAATAAATGAATTGGTAGAATATTGAAGAATATTTCCACTATGAAGATCATGATGAATGACTTTTTGTTCATGAATATCTTTTAAACCTTTAATAATTTGACGAAGAATGTCAATTTTGGCTTTCCATTTTAAATTCTTAAAATCTTTAGTTAAATAATTTAGAAGGTTTCCATCTTTTATATATCTCA